GCCATAGGTTGGTATCCCTCTTTTTAAGGGGGAGCTCTGAGGCTTCGCCCCCCGAATATCCCAAGGGCCCCTACATGGGACCTGCCCTTGGTGCTGGATGCCCTATGCTCGCCTCCTGTTGAATCTTTGTTACAGGCAGAACTGGAGTGGCTCTCAGCTAAGACTGCTTTCCTTCTTGCCATCACCTCAGCAAAGCGTGTAAGCGAGCTTCAGGCCTTGTCCGTGAACAGCTCGTGTCTGAGGTGGAACTCAGATGGCTCAGGTGTCACCTTATGGCCGAACACAGCGTTCCTCCCTAAGGTGCAAGGACATATGTGCTGCGGCCACATGGGCATCCCAGAGCTTATTCGCCAGATACTACAGGGTGAATGTTTCCGCCCCTCACCCGCTGGGTGTGGTCCTCCTGCAGAGTCAGCCTAGGCCATCCTTATAGGGAGAGTATTCAGACTTCCTTGTGACTCTGTTGGTATAGGTCATCCAGTGCTAAAGCACCGCCTCTGGCGGTCAGTAAGGATGAATTAGAACGATAGTTACGTATGCAACTACGGTTCTATGAATACTGGATGACCGCCAGAGTTTCTTGGTCACTCGGAATCTCGTGTTTCCGCAAGAAGATTCGGGGTCACACGAGGTCACACATGACTTTGTTGATATAAATATTCGACCTACGCATGCGCGAGACGGAAGATATCCAGTGCTAAAGCACCGCCTCAGGCGGTCATCCAGTATTCATAGAACCGTAGTTAAATACATAACTATCGTTTTACTTGATTGCTTACGTGGAACACAAGATCCAAACTTGTCCGGGAATTCTGAAATCAGGTCATCGTTGATTCTGTCCTTCATCGGTCCCAGGATGATGACGGGTCTGGCATAATTAACTGGAAGAAAACAAAAACGTTTAAAGCATCGTTCAAGCATTGTTGATCTTTTTTTAAGAATGAAAATACACCATATAAAGGGTATTTTTCATAGTTGTAGGCTTTAGTTCTTGTTTGTGTGAATAGTGATTCCTGCTGACACTGCTCTGGCTCCTGAACAAAGCTCCATGAGTGATACAAGCTCACTTCAAACAGTTCATTATAGAATTAAGTATCTATTATATTTAAATTGAATATACTACTATATATACCAATATCTTTAGAAGCTTTTAAAGCAGACTACCATAACTTTTCTCTAGTGCTGTCTTCTGGGTAAAAGTGTGCTGTTTGGAAACTGGCTACAGTTACAGTAACAGTTACACTTATACAAGAAAGACTACATTTGTCTAACAAAGTTTAAACACGAATGTATATACAACATTGAAACACAACAACTATAGATATATATATAACACAATTATTAAGCAAAGCATAGTAACTTAACTGTGTGTTTTCATTGTGGCTGTCTTTTCACTAAGTTAAGCCTCCTGGTCGGGGCATGCCCCCCCTCCCCCTCTATGTCCCTACATCTCTCAGACCTACCTCCCCCTTCCCTCAGTTTGGTTGTTCATGAGCTTTGAATGTTTCCCACATTCTCATGTTCTACCAGGAGTGGGGACAGAGTGCAGATCTGTTTCAGAGTATTACTACTATACCGAGTCACATGTTCAGATACATTGGCTTTGATGACACACTTAAATGACTACTTACTTTCTTGCCGGATCACAGGTTCATATGAGAGAATCACATCCTCTTGACTCCCTGGAAGGAGTTCATAGGGAAACATGTTATTATGATATTTAGACAAAATCGTATTACTGAACTAAACAACATGCCGTATTTGTCACTGAACATGTCCCAATTAGGTTTGGTCTGTCTTACTGATGACCTACACACAGGTTGTCTGGCCCTGAGGACATAACACTGCAGGTAAACAGCTCATGCTTAATACATGAATAGCATATTAACTGAAAGAAACTAAATAAATAGTCACATTTCTACTAAGTGTAGTGTCTCTCACTGCTCCAACTTCCCCATTGATTACATGCAGGAGCTCAGGAAACACGATACAATGTGATATATGACTTATTATCGTGATTATGAACAGTTAACTGCTGTTTGTGTAACTTCATTGTACACAAATTCAGCCAATCTTTTTTGTAGAAAAAGTGTGTTTCTGTAGCTCTGTCATTATGTTGTCAATTGCAGTCAATAAGGTTACAAGGAGAAATGCTGTATAGGAATTGTATGAAGAATAACCATTTAGGAACTGGTATCTTACTATGTATAAAGTAAGAGCTGCAAAAGACGTAACATTAAAATAAAAAGGAATCAATATGAAAGTAAATGTCTGTATCCTTGATAACTAAAATATACATTAAAACATTACCTACAAAACAAAAATAGACGTAGTTGTGATTAGCTTTCAAATGTTGCTTTAAACGGACATGCTCACACACCAGCAAAGACAAACCCACGTTAGTTGTTTCTTTAGTTGTTTCAGTGGCATGCAAACATGCACATATACATATATATATATATATATATATATATATATGCACATATACATATATATATATATATAGATATATATTTATTTATAGTCTATTTAGCATGCACATATACTTTGTGAGGCCAGTACATTCATCATTGAGTGAGGCCTCCCAGACCTTGAGTTTGTGGAAACAGCCCCCCCACTGATCGAAGTTACACTGCAAACTGAGGAGCAAGAGAGGCCCACAGAGGCGGCATGCAACAGAGCAGGCAAGAGGAACAGACAGGAAATGTGACGTGTTGTCATGGGGGGGGTCGCAGTAAACAGAGATAAGGAATCATTCCCAGACCCACTTACTGAATGTCTTTGTCCCATACCCATCATCACCTATCCCCAGGATGTCCTACCGGCCGTCCACAGAGAGCCACAACAGAAGAGAGAGAGGAAGGAGGAGAGCCACAACGTAAGCTGAGTGAGAAGAGTTGCATCTGTCTCTGCACCGACACTGAGCCGCCAGCAGGGGGCCCTCTCAACATCATGACACATACTGTAGGCGGGTTGAGATTTAACTCATATATGACATCACCATATGGGCACTTGTCACGAAAAAATGAACATTTGGCTTCTCTCTTGCTCTCTGACCAGAGTCTGAGCCAGAACGCCTCTGAGTGGGGTCCAACAGAGAGAGTAAGAGACCCAAAGGACAGGAAGTGATGATGAGAGGAAGCTCTACATGTGTGTCTGTCTGTGAGCTTACTTACTGTCAGAATCACTGCCATCCTGCTCACCCTCTTTGTTCTTGTAGAATGGGAACTTTCGTGTAAAGATGAAATTCTTTTTACGTTTGTCATTGAATGACTGTCAGAGGAGAGAAAGCATGGTCACAGGGTCACGTTCATGCAGACAAATAACAGCTGCGGACTGTGGGACGTCAAGAAGCTGTTACAGTGAAGCTTAAAAACTCTTTCTCCACGATCCAATCAAAATAATGTCAATGCTGAATTTGTAAGGTAGCTAATGAATAAATATAACATAAATGAATCTTTTATTTTTAGATATTTGTAACATTATGGAAAGATTCATTTTGTGTAGCCCAGAGTAAATGCTATTTTTGTATTGAAACTTGTTGAATTGGAAACCATGATGAGTTTTCTTTTAAACCTATTCAAAGTTGAAATGTGTCTTTACTCTGTTTTTATTTTGGCTATTCTTTCAGCTGACAGGACCAGCGGATGGGGGAAGTCTGTCAAACTCATTTTGAGCATTACATCTTCAGTCCAGAAACCAAATCAGGAAACTAGCAGGACTGTAAGAGAGAAACTCTTATCTATAATGATCACTCTAATCTGCTCCAGTACTTTTTGTTGTGCCACAGTTGCATCAGATGCATTTAAAGTAAAGCAAGGTGAGGAAAGAGTTGAAATCATGCCATGGGAGAAGTAACATTTTTGGGGTTAGACATAGAGAAGATTGTCAATAGAAAATAAAACACACATGCATTAATGGGAAGAAAGAATGGAACTCAACTTCAAACAATAAATAGTGTGTGGAAATCATCATTTGAAGACAAAAGGCTGCTGCTGCTGCTGCTGCTGCTGCTGCTGCTGATGGGTAATATTTGCACAGTCATGCTCAAACGTAGTAACGTCAAAAACTGATAGAATATATTTGCTTATTTAATAAAGTTATATACAGTAGCCTATGTGTGAAAAGATACAGTAACACAGATATTTGTAAAATGAACTGAAGCAGAAAAGCCGACTCTTATAAAGCTTCTTCTCTTATACCTAATTCACACCAACGGTGTTTCAGGGCCGGTTCGGAGCTGGAGCTTGAAAAGCACCGGGTTTTCCTCTTCACAACGCAGCGGAGCAGCCTCTTAGCTCCGGAATCCGGTTTGTTTGAAGCTCCAAAAAATTGTCCGGCTAGAGCAAAAGCACCGCATACATCACGCTTCTGTCGAGGCAGGGGCAGGGTCAGGGGGAACCGGAATCGTACGTTGAAGTTGATGATTACGATTGTAAAGCAGTTTTCGAATGTAGCATGTAACGGCTGTAAAGTTGGTGGTAAAGTCGTCCCATTTCTTCCATTTCGTTTCGACAGAGCAAAACCAAACTACAGTACGTAGCACTTCAACACAATCGGCCATTTTTGTGTCGCAGCACCANGCTGGAGCACAATCAGCCATTGTTGTTGTTGTCGGTGTCAGCTGTGAGGGGTTTCCGCGCGGTTTGGCTTTATCAAGCAGGCACGCAAACGGTTACGTCATGACGCAAAGGATGACGCAATGACGCAGCACCAGTCGGACTCTGGGCAGTGTGAAAAGAGCCGGAGCTAAACCGAAGAACCGGTTCTGAACCTGAAAAGCTCTAGCACGGAGCTTGAACTGGAGTTGCGTTGGTGTGAATGAGGTAATACAGCCGTTTTAAAAAGACACTGACTCATTTACCTGTAATAAATAAGCATACAATACAACCATAAAGAGGATTTAGAAATATGTTTTCTTTTATGAATTACACAAACAAAAGAGGAAACTGGCTGAAGTGTTTGAATGTATATCAAATCTATATCATCTATCTGATTTAAGCATGGACATGTAGTGCAGGCAGAACAACAGAACCAACATCTGGCAATGATTACACGGGAAGCTATAGGGTCACTGTTAAGATTTCATATGAAGTTATATCTGAGCGACACTATGAATTATCATCAATGTGGGAACACGAATTGCCGCTGTGCAGCTCTCATAAAGGTACTCACCCCTTTGGAATCAAATGAGCCTGGCTTGGCGTTGAACTTCACCGTCTTTAGCCTTGCTCGCTCTTTCCTTTCCACCCTGCTGGGACAAAGTCTCACACTGACACCACATTGAACAACAGAATTGTTGGTGTTTTAAGTCGTATTATATGTCTTTGCATCAAATGTATTCCTGTATGTTTGTACTGGCTCCACCGGAGCACAGCTGTGTGGAATAAGGTTACCCTTTGGTTTGCGTCATTGTCACCACATTAACTAGCAAGGGTTCCTATTTTAGCACAATCAATATAATCATTTAAAATCATCAACCAGAGACAGATTTCTATCCGGTGCTTACCGTCTCTTGCTGGGGATGACACCCATTTCCTCACTGTCTCCATGTGAGGTGACCCGGCGGGCCTGCCACCATTCATCATCGGAGGCGTTGATGACATGGAGGATGTCCCCATACTTGAAGCTGAGCCCCTGGCTGGGGAGGCCGTTGTCCTTTGACTTCTCATAGTCAAACAGTGCCCTATCCAGTGGAAGACATCTGGGTTAGTATTGCCATGCACTGAATTCCTCCACTCCTCCGTGTGAGGCCTTTCCTAATTGGGTAGTGAGGAACTGGAAGCATATCTTTACCAGGTCAGAGAGAACAGTGACTGCTGGTCCATGGGGGGGTTCTATAATAGGAAATGTTCTTGTGTTGCAGGCACAGACCTTAAACCTGGTTTATAATATATGTGTGCAATTGTCATTTATTGAGTTTACTCCCTGTCACAGTTTTTCACACAATCCTTTTAAAAGACTGTATTCTTTAATATTACCATGTAGCCTAGAATAAAGAAGTGTATCACATAAAATACATTTGGGGATTTAATGGATGGGCTCCTTTTTTATCTAAATGAAGCTTGAACTTTCTAAATAAGGGTGAATACCTAAAAAGACCAACCTCACATGAAGCGACCTCTTTTGATTGGTCCGCAGAGACCCTGACCCAGAGCTCATGCTGTGGTTCATCATCTGTTCCCGCAGGTCATGGATTTTGGCCTCAAAACGCCCGTACTCTGAAAAAAAGATATATCCAATATTAAGTGAAAAGTTGTCCAATAATTCTCTCTTCTGAAACATTTACAGGGACGATGAAATTCACAACTTGTAAAGCATTTGTTGTTTCTTTACAAAGGAAGTGATGTAAACATGTGGTAAGGATTTAATATTAGAAGTACACAGGGGTTCTGTCTTTAGTTTTTGATTAATTACAGCTACACTCATTACGCTAAGCAGATAAAAACCCTGGCATAGACATAACTGCTAGCAGTGTCTGAAGGGTCACTACCTTTGAGCAGCGGTACATAAGGTAAAGTCAAGAGACTTAAAAGAGTCAGAAAGGGTGGAGGGGCATTTTTTTTGGGGGGGGGGGTTAGGTTTGCTTCAGAGGGTCAAACGCTTGGTGTAGAGGGGTGAACAGTCTGTCCATGCCCACATTCACTCAGTGACTTCCACTATTGAATGATGCTAAAGGTCAGAGCAGACACGGGGGCCAGGGGCACGAACCTGGTACAGGAGAGCGGGCCCGTCGGGGGGAGCATAGAGCAAGGTCTGATGGGTAAGAAGAGAAAGCTGTTGTTAGTTCCAGACGGGAACAAGGCCATGAGCTGGAGGAGTGAGCTAGGGGCTCTCAATTACTCTGAGTCTACAGACTCATGCTTACAAAACTACTGCTTCAACAAACTGGGGACATGCACAGAGCTGGGCTCAGGCACACATCAATTATCGAGCTAGCATCAAACTTGGCACCAAGTGAAGACTAGCCTTGCTCCGAGCTCACACATATTCCTCCCCTCCCATTGCTGACGCTGTCACAACACGGAGGCAGAACTACCCTGGAGGACAAGAAAGTCTTTCAAACATGGCGTCTTATTTGTTTTAAATCTAAACGTTAGAATAAAAGAATCCATTTTGAATATAAAATCCATATGAACCACATTTTTCTTGCCGGTTCGCGAGGGGCACAATCCTATATATATAGTGTGTAGGAATCATATTATTCTTGGAGGCTATTGTATTATTTGTCTTTTTATTTAGTTTCAAAATGCAGTGTTGTCTTTCTGCAGTGAAAGTTTAATTATTTTGCCTTGTGGCAAAGTGACAGATGATTGGCAAACCCATAGAGAAGCACTGTGTGTTCAATATCAAAAGGATCCTTCATCAGACCTGCAGAGGATTCACATCCACTCCAGAGGAGAACATGATCTACCATGAGAGGGAAACTGAAATGACCAATAAAAGGTGATCCATGACTTGGCTTGATAATAACCACATCACTCAGCAGGTACAGGAGACTTTAGCACCATTGTGTGTGTGTGTGTGTGTGTGTGTGTGTGTGTGTGTGTGTGTGTGTGTGTGTGTGTGTGTGTGTGTGTGTGTGTGTGTGTGTGTGTGTGTGTGTGTGTGTGTGTGTGTGTGTGTGTGTGTGTGTGTGTGTGTGTGTGTGTGTGTGTGTGTGTGTGCTCCTGTTGGTCCTGACTCACCTTCTGGTCTGTACTGGGCGAAGATGGTGACCACCTGCCCCGCCCCTTTCAGAGCTGCTGCTGCTTGTTCATGAGTGGCTCCTCGGAGGTCAATCCCATTTACCTGTGTGAACAAAAGGGACAAATCACAGGAATATTATGGTGGTCTTTCTGTTTTCTTGGACATAGTATGATTACCTGCAACACAATGAACACACTGCTGCAACACCAAACCAATCAAATCTTTATTACATTTCATATTTATTACATTTTTGAAGTTGTGCGATGCATTAAAACACAAAGTTCTCTTCTCATTAGTTGGTCTGATCTTTTGTTGTTTTAACCTACTGAATGCAAATGCTGACTGTCACAGGTTTGTCATTCAGATGGAACAGCCTGATGAAACACAGGGACATCTCGCCCAACCTGTTCACAGACTGGATCACCACCACAGTTTGCCATCAGTCTGGATCTTTGCTAGAATATTCAAAAGAACATAATTTGAATAGCATATGAGAAGCTAGAAACGGGACGATTCTGACTGACTGAAATATTAATTGTAAATGTGTTACTGATATATTTCCTGTTGATCCACTGACTGATTTGGGCCACGACTATTTTCTAATCACACAGGTCAAAACGTGTGACTGTATGTTTGGACCTAACACATACACTATAGTCTATAGCAGCGGTGTGAGGCGAGCCTCCCCGGGGGGGCGCCAGAGAGCTTCAGGGGAGGCGCAGCATGAGAAAACAATTACGAGAAAAAGACGAGTAAAGTGACACTTGCACACTTTTGGCTGTCTGTAGAGACCGAGTTCCTCCACCTTGCCAAAAAGGCTGTAAAAGTGCTCATTCCATTCACCTCCACCTACCTGTGTGAGTGCGGGTTTTCCGCATTGACTTTGATCAAAAGCAAGTGCCGGTCAAGGCTGCAGCTAGAGGATGATATGCGTTTATTCCTGTGTGCATCAAAGACGCAGACTCATTGTTCCCACTAAAGTAGGGGTGAGTGTAATAAGGAGGCAAAGTTAATGTGTGTTGCCGGGAGCATATAAGAATGTTGAAAATGTTAAAAATGTTTAAAAAATATGTTTTCAGAACCAGTGGCTTTGTCTCCTGGAGGCCAAGGGAAGCCAGGCTTCCCCTGTTTTTTCGGATTGTAGCTATAATTTTAATAAATAAATAAAAACACTTCGTTTAGTTTAGGAAATTCTTCTTTGCTGTGTGTTGCTGCCGGCCCGTCTCTCCCCCATTCTCATTGAGTATTTTACAAAGAGTGAAACAGCGCCCCTCTATATGTTATGGTGAAACAGTAGATTGCACTCACTGTTGCGAGAGGAGGCCAGCCGAAATTGGCTTACCTTGGTGAAAAAAAATTGAGGGATTGACCAATCAGACAAGCCTCATGTCATGCCCCTGCCAACCTGTGATTAGTCAGAGCCATGCCAAGGGAAGCCAGAGGCGGCTGGCTTCCCTTGCCTCACAATCCAATCAAATCGCATCAACTTAGTGGTGCAGTGACGCGTCCTAAAACCCGGAAGTAAGCTGTGCTCAGGTTCCCTCGACAAAAAAGCAATGGGTTCTATTTCGCCCCTACTGACCGCCAGAGGCGGTGCTTTAATAATAATAATATCTTGGATTTATATAGCGCCTTTCATGAGACCCAAGGTCGCTTAACAAAGAAGAATAGGGCAAAAACAAACATAACAAAGCAAAAGGCAGTCAGACAACCAATCAGACAGACAAAACAACAAATAGATTAGGGGCCAAAGGCCTTAGTAAACAGATGGGTCTTGAGGGCGTGGGGATGTTGCGGATCTCAGCAGGGAGAGCGTTCCAGAGGGGGGGGCTGCCACACTGAAGGCTCTGTCCCCGAAGGTTTGCAGTTTGGTGCGGGGGGTGGTAAGCAGGCCAGAGTCTGAAGACCGCAGGATGGGGCATGTGGGTGAAGGATGTCCGATAGGTACTGGGGGGCATGGGCATGGAGGGACTTGTAGGTAAGGAGGAGGATTTTGTATGATATGCGGGACTTGACCGGCAACCAGTGGATGAGGGTGGGAATGATGTGCTGCCACGGCTTTGTATTGGTGAGTACCCATAGCATCACAGTTTTGGACATACTGGAGCCTGTCCAGGGTTTTGTTGGGAACCCCAAACAGGACACCATTGCAGTAGTCCAAGCGGCGGTGACAAACGCATGGACTAGGGCAGGGGTACTCAAACCTTTTGTAAAGGTCCACTTGTGAATTTTATACAAAGTCAATAGGTCCGGATCAATGCCAGTAAGATCCCCCTTCTTCTTTTCTTTTCTTTTTTTAAATTGTTACATTTATTCTGGTTTGTTGTGTTTGTATCTTTTATTTTAAATTGATTAATTTAATGTTTTGAGCTGAGCTGTGTGAATTTTATATTTATGTATCCCTCTGTACAGCACTTTGGTCTGGAGGCTTTTTAAAAGTGCTTATATAAATAAAAGTTGGATTGGATTAATCTCCTTATTGGGGCCCCTTTCTGGTCGCAAGCACTTGCCTGTCGGTAAAACCGGCGCCCCTGTATACACACACACACATTCAATACGATACATTACAGTATGGTATGGCTTGAACTAGTGGGAGAAATTGCACTTTTTGTTCTGTAGCCAATGCCTTGAACCCGTCGGCAATAAATGGAATAGAAGCATTAGAAAGTCAAGGAAAACTTGCGGTAACTTGCGGTCTGCAATGCGTGTCACCTTGCGCACACAAGTAAATATATACTATCAAGTTCCATTCTCACCAACCACGTCAACAACCAAGAAAATATACATTAAGAGGGGACCTATCATGCAAATGCACTTTGTGATGGTCTTTATATACATAAATAAGTGTCCCCGGTAGCGTCGGCGGGAACTCACGCAGCGTCAGGAAGTAAGACCCTCCTCTCTTATTCCTCGTACGCCAAATCTTTTTAAAAAACAGGGGTACAACGAGCCGGATACAGAATTTGCTGCCATTTGCTCGACGTCAAATCGGCAGCGACGCCACAGAAAACTTGCTATCAAGAAACAATGGCCAGACATGTTTTGGACGTAATCTCGTCTTGTTTACATTAGCCAAGCCTCGCTAACACCAGAGTTAACCTGCAGCGTAGAGCAATTGGTTTTTTTGTTTTCCCCAAAGCGGGGGCGCGCCCCCCTGGGGCGCAGAGGCATGAAAGGGGGGAGCGAGAGACCCAGGGAGAAAAGAGAGTGTTATAAAAAGAAAAACAAAAAGATTAAAACAAAAAATCATCATAGATTCGAAAAAGAGTATGATTGAAAAATAGTATGAATAGCAGTACAGTACTATTACGTCTGGGTCTCTGTGTTTCATTAAAGCTGGGCTCTGTGTGTGTGTGTAGAACGAGCCTTTTGTGTGCGCGAGAGAGAGAGAGATGAGCGCGCACCCAGATACCGGAGACCGTTCTTGTTAGCTTCTGGTGTAGCAAGGTAAGCCAACGGATATGAAAGAGGTTTTGTTCCAACAACAAAGTGGAGGAGAGCCTCTCCTGTCAGACTGAAGAGGCTCAGTGAGCTAAAGGACTCTCTCCAGTGTTATCTCGTGGGTCTCAACAGTTTTGTCACCATTAATTGAAACATTATTCCGAGGCACACGTTATATGACATTATAGTTATAAAAAATAAGGATAAATGAAAAACAGTATGAATACTATAATGACAAGTAAAAAAAGATAGTTGAAGAGGGTGATTGTAAATGTCCTAAAGAAAAAGTAAATCTATTTACAGTTCTGTTTTCCATATGGGTGTTGAGAGATGTATCCATAGATCCTCTTCTGTTGCTTTCAAGTGCACCAGATTGATCTTTTAACTCAATATTTAAAAATAAATTCTCCAGAGGGAGCATTAACCCCCCGGACCCCCCTAAATGTAAGGTCCACACACACCTATAAATAGCACTATTACCTCCAGCTACACCTATAGCCGTGAGCTGTCTAATCGAGCCTTCCATTGTAACAGTCGCGGTGTGTGTGCGTGGGGATGTTGCAAGTAGAAAATTCGACTGTAGCGACCGGTACATTATGGAAAACCCTAAATGGTGAGCACCCTCTATGAAACGCAGCACTAGGGATGTTAAGATTTCCACCGTTCACATCGTGCCGGCCATAACGTTTCAGATGCGAGTGCACCGGTTGAAAGACGGTGAAATCGGCTACAGTTTGGGTTGAACCTCACGCGATGCTCGATTGTAGCGTCTTTGCATCGGTAAAAAAACGATTAATGCATAATAATATCCCCCCCTCATCCTGTCAGCATCAAGCAGAGACGATCTTTGCTTCGCTCACGGCAGGCCAGAGCCAGTTATCAACACACATGGAGCGAGGAGAAAGAGAAACACAGCGCACCGAAAATACCTACAAATCAACGTTTGGCAACACTTGATTTTTCAAGAAAGACAGTCCACTTTAAAAATCGCTCGCAAATTGTAAATATGCCGAGCCCGCTTTTAAAGTACACAAATAGTACGAGGAACTTAGCGACGCACATAAAGAGGCACATGGGGTCTGGCGGCTGAAAGAGAAACCTGAAAAGTTAGACATTGAGTTAAATCACCAGTGAGGTGTTCTGCAAGAGAATGGTGGTTTAGTTTACGCAGCCTGTGACTGCCATCATAGTTTAAATGTCTTCCTTACTGTAAGCCGTGGTCCAAACTTTTCAGTCATGGAAGAATACAACCAAAATCTGGAGCTGAAAAGTAAACTACCATTCACAAGTTTAGCATTAAAATCTCATAACCAGCACAAACACACTTCACCTTTATTACCAAGAAAGGCTGCAGGGTACAGGTGTGCGTGTTTGGCCTCAAAAAAGAATCTAGGCAGTAGGACTTTTACAGTCTTAATAAACATGCTGGAAACACACAGTTTAAGGACCATTTAAAAGTAGATCAGTACTTGATGTGAAGGAACACCTTTCGAGTTCAAGCTAGGTATAATTAGTTTGTGCCTTTTGAAATCCTTTAGATTTCTATGATTTAGATGCAAGAGCTGGTGTAATTTAACTAATATTTAAATTAAATCTAATATTTAGCAATCTAATATGTAATATTCCATTCCTCAGATACTTATGTATATAGAATTCCTGCTTTATATTTGCTACTGTACATTTGAATTCACATGTATAATTTCACTTCTTTTTTTTCTAATGCATTTTATTCTATTGAGATGTTTACATTTTGGAAAGTTTTTTATATCTTTTTAATTTAATTGTACAATGCATATCTTTATATAAATACTTATTACTTATCTTATCTTAAGAAGCTGAATTTCCGAAGGGTTATGGCGTGGTTTTTAACCAATAGCCACCATTTATAACACATGAGCCAAATTTCCCAAATCTAGATGGATTAAATATCACTTTGACTCTTTTCAAAATGGTTGTGTGTCTGGGTATAAAATCAGAGATGAGGTGATCACCCGATAAGATCTGATCCCTCTCCTCAGTCTCCGCCAGGTCACAGGCCCTCCCGGCCAGGATGAAAGGACAACAAGTATGCCCTAGCCGTCTTCTTCACCCACAATGTTGAAGCACAGGCCTGTGGAGCCTTTGTGCAGCACAACTTCCTGGGTCCTTGTACAGACAGTTCGATAGTACATCAGCCGGGGGTGCGTAGGTTTCAGCATCTTCAGGCCGGGCAGACATCCAACCAACAGCCGGTACCAAAACCGCCGAGCTGCTGTGCTAAGTGACAGAGCTGGAGGAGTTGTGGGGTTCCACAGGGGAACGCTGCT